TTATTAAAAAAATTACTCGTAGCGAATTTAATTTAACCCTATATAGTCGAAAATCAGTTTTTCGGCCCACCCTAATATATATATATATATATATATATATATATATATATATATATATGTTATATAAATAACATATAAATATGCATTATATATTTTTAATAATATATAATGCATGTTTATATGTTATTTTCTTAATTTTGATTTATAATATATATTTGCTGTTTTAAAAAGTCTTTTGCTTATTAAATAACTTTAAAAATTTCATCAAGACAATACCCCTTAGTGGCCAAAGTGGTCCAAAATCCAATTATTGAAGTTGTCAATCAATTGTTATCTATAGACTTCATCTTTTCTATTCCAGTAACTTCCAACTCTGATAGTGGTTGCTTGCATTCTTGTTGGAAGTGAAGATGTTAAAACAAAAAAAACAAAAAATCAGCTGCTTTGTAAATATTTTGACGGTCATGTAAAGAATATTAAGGACGCCTTATGGGAGAAAGTCTCAATGCATTGAGTTGAAATAATGACAAGTTTTCAGTGATAATTGGTTCTGTAATAACTTCGTTATTCTAATCAATAAGTTCTTTGATCAGCATATTAAATCCTATTGAAATTGGGTCGTTCCGTGCCAAATGGTCTAAAATTATAGGATTCCAACATGGACCACCTCAGATTTTGATGAAACTTACTTTTCTTATGTGGTTCATGAGATATGGCCATTTGAAATTTCTGATTTTTCCAAAAATAAAAACTTCAGTAGCAAAAACATGTTTTGTTCATACTTTGAAGCTCTGTATTTTAAAAACTAAATTTCAGAAAACCTTCTAGTTTTTTTTATCATATACAATGCTAGGCTTACTTTGTTAAAACTTTGACATTAAATTTTTAAATATCACATTTTATCCATAATGGCTGCCTAAAAAACCAAAAAAATTGTTTGCAGATATAAAAAGTTGATTTTTGATGGGTCAATATACAAAACTAGCAATTTAAGAAGTAAAAATACATATCTTTTTAGTTTCTATATATGGTAGGCTTCCTAATTTTCAGAAATTTGCTGATATGATACAATTTAGTAAGAAATTATGGACCCCTAAAAATGGCTCTGGCTAGAACTTACAAAAATGTGCCTTCCCTTAAATCCACTGGTAACCTATGATCAACACTGATTTTCATGATATACTTTTTTTCTACTCATTTAGTAGACTTTATTAAAGTGATTTCAGAAAAATATATAATGGGTACTCATGGGGAAGTTACAAAGTCAGAACAATGAAGTCGACACAAAATGCATTAAAAATGCAAAAAAATAGAGATATTGATGTACTTTAGTATTCATTATTTATTGCAATGCAAAAAAATGTGTATATATATGAAAGTATATCAAAATCATTGCTACAAATTAGCTTTAAATTAGGACTGAATTAAACTCAGGTTTTAAATAACCTTAGTTGCCCTTCCCCCCCCCCTGTCTTTTTTTATTTATATATATATCTGGAAGAAAATACATATGTATTTTCTCCCAGAACTTTTCTTAAAAGAAATATGTTATTGTATGTTTTACTTTACAAAATGTGTCTGATTGTTTTTCTAATGCATGAAGTGTTAATGCACAAAATAACAATTGAACATACACAGTTAAAAACTGTGACATGTCAAACAAGTTATTGGGTGTACTTTTTATCTTTATTTCGTATATAAAATTTATCCTTCTATATTTATTTATTGTGTCAAAACTTATGTAAACTTTAGTTTACACTTCAAAAGTTGAAAATAAATATATTTTTTTTAGATATTAATTAAAAATAAATGGCAAGTTCATCTTTAGATCTAACTCAATGTTGCATTGGAAAAAAATTAAATGAAAATTGTCATGAAGGAAAATTTACCAAAATCAAGAAGATTAATTTTTTTGAGGAATTAACAAAAAAAGATCAAGAGCTTGTGCACTTAAGATGTAAAGTAAATCCTATTAAAACTATTTGTAATCACTATGAAAAGATATTCTTGGATAGATTTGAGTCATCGTATGTTGGAAGCTTTTGTTGCGATCCTTTTAACAAACACAAAATTAAAATTAAAAGTATTTAAAAATAGATTAACTTAATGATTATATTAAAGATAAAGTCTTCTTTATTTATTTATTTAGTGTTTTATCATATATTTTTCTAGAATCTGTCAGAGTAATCAGTGCTAGTGTTGCAAAGGAATTTGATTTAATACCTGGTTATAAGCTTTGTACAGAATGTCGTAAAATATTGCACTTAAGAAAACAAGAACATGAAAACGATTCATGTAAAAATCAAGATAACGATTTTAACGGGATTCATCTTTCAAAAGAAAACTTTAATTTAAGCATTAACACCTTTGGTTGTTCACCTCTAAAACTAGTAGCTTATAAAGACAGAGTCAGCTATGCAAAAAGAAAGATTAACAAGATCCATACTGCAACCAAAAAGAAAGTAGCAACTGTTTTAGATGTTTCTCCGGATTTAATAAATGATGAACCAAAAACAAAAGAACTTTGTTGCAAAAGTAAACAAGATTTGGACTCACTAATGGAATTAATTAACGCAAAGTTTGATATTTCTTCAAAACCAGAAAAACTTAAATTGCTAACTTTGGTTCCTGAGATTTCGAACATTAACTATACAGAAAACTATTTTTCTGCTTCCCAAAGAATGATAAAAACTGCAAGGCATTTGAAACAAATGCATGGCATAATGGCAGAGCCGTCTAAAAAAGAAGGAAGATCTATTAGTGAGAAAGTAAAAAATCTAGTCCATGAATTTTACCAATCAGATGAATACTCTAGAATGTGTCCAGGAAAAAAACAGTATGTCTCAATCCAAGTTGATGGTAAAAGACAACATTTTCAAAAAAGACTGTTATTAATTAATATAAAAGAACTTTATTTAGAGTTTGTTAAAATTTCCTTAGATGTCAAGATTGGATTTTCTAAGTTTTGTGAACTTAGACCAAAGTGGTGTATTCCTGTTGGAGGTGCTTCAGGTCTCCACTCAGTATGCGTTTGTGAGTACCACCAGAATGCCAAACTTTTAGCATTAAAAATACCAGATATTTCAGACTATAAAAATCTCTTGAAATTAGTTGTATGTGACTTAACAAATCGAGACTGCATGCTGCAATGTTGTGATAACTACCCAGATAATGACACACTTAAAGAGTATCTTACTACTTTGTTTGATAAACATAGCATTGAAGAAATCAACTTTAATCAGTGGCAAAAAGCTAACAAAAAACATGATATAGTTCCGGTAACTCTTTCAGTGGACGATTTTATTGAAAATGCTTGTCAACAAATAGACCAATTAAGAGACCATCACTATATAGCCAAAAATCAAGCAGCATATTTGCAGCATCTAAAAATCACATTAGCAAGTAATCATATTTTAATACTATTAGACTTTGCTGAGAATTACAGTTTTTTAATTCAAGATGCAGTACAAGGTTTCCATTGGAACAATAGCCAAGCAACATTGCATCCTTTTGTTATTTACTTTACGGAAGAAAACAAGATAAAATGTAAAAGTATTTGCATTATCTCAGATAATTTGCAACACAATACAAACTCAGTACATTGTTTCATTCATGAAGTATTAAAACATTTAAAAAACTTGATACCCTACTTTAACCACTGCATTTATTTCAGTGATGGTGCAAGTTCACAATACAAAAATTATAAAAACCTATCTAACTTATGTCACCATAAACAAGATCATGACGTATCTGCAGAATGGCATTTTTTTGCTACATCACATGGAAAGAGTGCTTGTGATGGTGTTGGGGGAACTGTCAAAAGACTTGTAGCAAGGGTAAGTTTACAATCACTAGTTGATCCTATCAATTCATCTAAAAAAATGTATGATTGGTGTAGACAAAATATTGATGGAATACATTTTCAACACATTTCAAATAATGCAGTTACATTACATTGCATGAAATTTAAATTAGAAGAACGTTATGCTACTTGTTCAACAATTCCAGGAACAAGAAACCACCATTATTTTATACCACAATCATTAACTACTTTACAAATGAGACGGGTTTCATTCGAAAATGTGTTTACTAATGTAAATATTTCAACAATGCAACAGAACTATACAATTCCACTTGCATCTCTTTCACCAGGAATTTATATAGCATGTGTTTTTGATGAAAAATGGTTTTTAGATAATATTGTGGAAATATCTGAAGAAAATCACGATATCCTTATAAAGTTCATGAAGCAGTCTATTTCCTCTAACACTTTTACTTGGCCACATAAAAAAGATATTTGCTGGGTTTCAATAATGCACGTTCTATGCAAATTTTCATCTTTAAAAGTGCAATCTGGTAGATCATCTACCAGTTGCTGATTGCACTGCTTATTGATAGTTCATAGCATTTAAGATGCTATGAACTATCAGCTCAAGAAAAAACTGAAATAATACATTTGTGGAATAGAATGTTTAATAACGAAATTATATAATAACAAAGCAAAATTTTTATAAGCTTGATCAATCGAAAAAATGTATTAAAGTATACTTGAATGACTCCATCTTTATGTTGATTTTTTATTAAATAATGTTTTTTAATGCATAATACGTATTATATAATTACATAATAAACTTGTGTATTGCAATGACAAATCAAATTACTCTTATCACTTGATATAATCTGTAATCTAAATTTAAACATGACAATAATAAAATGGGGAAAATGATACTAAATTTAAGTCAGGATATAAAACTGTAAGATAATAACTGATATAAAAACAAAAATGTGTTGTGTCTAATAAGCATTTACAAATAAATAACACAGCTATTATTTAAGTATGTTCAATACTTGGTGCATAAAGATACTTCATGCATCAGATATAATAACAGAAACACTGCATAAGCTAAAATGTTTAATAAACAGTAGTTTAAAATGTTATCGAGAAATAAGTTCTTCTTAAGTGTCATTTTTTGTAAGAATCAGGCAGTCAATGGAAGTGACCTCCTCCAAATTGCTTGAATTTTTTATATATTGATCAGAATATAGAGAAAACCTATTGGGGAAAAAAAAAATTTTCAAAAATGTTTCGTTCACTCGGAATCTGGGCTTAAATTTTTGAGATTTTTTTAAAAATTTTTAGAAATTTAGTTTTTGCCACCTTTGAACCCATTTTTTTGGCAAGGCAAAAAGTTGCACATAGCTTTTGTAGTTAATATCAGACCTAACCCAAAAGCTCTCTCCAAAAAATATAAAAAAGTTGTGTGACACTGTGCGGTTGGCTAATTATCATAGTTCAAAAGTACAAAATCAATCAGTTTTGTCAATTTTTAATCGGAGTTAATTCTAGCGGCGAAGTGTTGCACACAATTTTTCTTTTAGGATTTGAAATTATCAAAGGTATTGAGTCTAAAAATGCAAAGAAAGTTATGTGATACCTAAGGCCTATTAATATATTAAGGCTTGAAATTGGAAAAAAATGTTTTAGTATACTTACAAAATGAGCTATTACGGCAGAGGCGCTAAGTTTTGTAAAAATATAATCATGTTAAATGGTCAATATAAGATGACCCTAACATAGTTTAAAAAAAAACTCATGTGATCTTTAGATATTAAGTTAAAAATAAAGGTACAAATTGTTAAAAATGATTAAGTACGAAGAGATATTTTTTTGGACACACAGATGAGGTTTTCGCTCACAATAAAATTTCTATCATCCAAAATTAGCAGTTAGCATTACACAAAACATTGCACGTAATGTTAAGAAAAAATTTAAGCGTTTCTGACTATGATATAGAAATCATAACAATTGAAATAAATAATAATAAAAAACAATACATGATCAGAAGTGAATTATTTAAATTTATGTCATAACCAAATAACTTGTGGTGATCGAATGGAAGAAGAATCGCTGATATCACGATTGTGTAGAAACAAGTTAGTGGGCGGTTGTTTACTTTACCATAAAAATGTCTTAACTTTATTTTAACGATCTTTAAAATTTGCATAAATAGAGTAGATATTTTATCATTGCTATTGAGAAATAGGTACTGCATAAATAGAACTTGTTTTTAGTTGGAACAAAACAAATATTTTTATGAAAACTGTTGTTGCTTTTCAAAAAGAAATTGTGGATCATTCAAAAAACATAAAATTATAAACAAAATGTTCTACATTCATCAGCTGGGAGATGTTGATGTTAAGAAACACCTCATCAACTTAAAGGTAATTATGTATTTTAAATTTACGCAGACTGTAATATAATTTTTATAATTACATACTTTATAACTTCTCTGCAATAAGATTTTGAGACAAAGTTCTTTAAACAAAAAAAAATAGCTCTTTTAATAAATAATCACTAAATTAATCACACTCTTGTAATATTGTATTTTAATAATAACAACAATGTATAGAAAACTTATTAAAGAAAAAATTTGCAGAAACTGTTGCTCCTGGACAAGAGGAAATACTTAAAGATTTTCTTAACAGTAAAAATGTTGATGAAATAAATAGCCCTCTCCCAATTGAAATTAATCGTGCTCAGAAAGTATATAAGCAAAGTGATTCCATAGGAAAGTTAGTTATCCTCTCATTATTAGATCATACCAAGTATACCAAAAAGTTTATAATGAACACATTTGAGTGTACCAAACATCGTATAGAAACAGCAAGAAAATGGCATGCATCTCATAAAGGGTTGGCATTTCCAGAGAAGAAAGTATTCGTCCGATCTAGTCTTGATCAAACAAAGTGTGAACATTTCTTAGACTTTATATTTACAAGCGGTATTTTGCATGATGTTGCTTATGGAATAACCAAATTAAAATACGACAGCGGTGAAGAACAAAAGATAGTGCATGCAATACTGGCGACAAAATATAGCCACGCTATCATGTTCTCTCGAAAAAGTTGTAGTGAAAACAATTATATACCATTATCTGATTCAAGTTTGTTGAAAGTATTGCATGCAATAAAACCTTCAAGTCGAAAAAGCTTAGCTGGATTAGATGATGTTACTGCTTCAGGCATGAATGGTTTTCAAACATTACAAAAATTGGCACAAAGATTTAGTTCTAAATCTCTCGAAGCTGCCCTTGAAAAAGGAAAAAGGTATTTGAAAACAAGTTATCAAACCAATTGTAGTGTCAATGACTCAAACATTTCTTCTCATAGCTCAAAACATGCCTTATCAGATCCATCTGAAAAAAATCTTCAATCCAACACAGAGATATCAGAAGTGGTATGTGCCGATTGCTATGATTTGTGCAAAGCTATCGAGACGATCAAAGAACTAACAATTCAAAATTCTGACGATGCTGATTCTATTTATGATTTGGAAATTGCTGTAAAGGATGTATTCAACTACATAAAATGCCTGATGAGAGATTCTCAACAGAAAAAGGCAAAAATCGAAGCTTTTAAGCAATTAAACGATGAAACTGCTTTCTGGCTTAAAGATTTTTGTCAAAAAATTCTTCCGGTTTGATACAGAGAGGGCCAAAGAGAGTATTTTGGCAAGAAAGGAATGAGTTTACATGTGGATATATTCTTCATAAAAGTAGCAGGAAAGTTATTCAAACGTGTTTACTTTACTTCAATGTATAGGTGTGATCAGGGAATAGGTGATGTTGTTTCGTTAGCCACTGCAGTTTTAGACCAATTCAGAATTGATCAACCGCATATCAAGAAAATGTTTACCAAATCTGATAATGCCGGCTGCTATCAGGGAAATCTTTCAGCTGAAGCAATCTACAATGTATGCAAAGAGAGAGATATAAAGTTGCTGAGATATGATTATAATGAACCCTGTTGTGGAAAAGATCAATGAGACCGGGAGAGTGCAGTTGTAAAGACAATTTTAAGGAGTTACGTTGACTCTGGTAATAATCTTTTGACTGCTGAAGATATACACAAGGCTATGCATTATAGTTTTGGCGCTAAAGATGCAAAAGAAGCAGTTCCTCAAATTAGCAATGATAAAACTGTAGTTACTGGACCAAAGATTAAGAACATTAGCAACTATCACTCATTTGAGTTTGGTGAGAAAAGATTATTCATTAAGATTTTGCACTGAAATGAATTGTACTTTATCATTTGAAAGTGATGCTGAGTTAGAAGAACACATGCTATCCGGTCTTCATACAGTTCCGAAATCATTAACATCATTGGATAAAGTTCGCAACTCGTTTGTTCATAAGATGAAAATTACTTCAAAACTAAATATGCCAATTTCTTCATCCTCTAACAGTGCTTCCGTAAAAGACAAACCACATTGCATGAACATTTTTCTATTGCAAGGTTGGGCATTACCAGTTCGAAGTTCTTTTAGATTTTCAAATCAGCAGAAAGAACTATTGTATAAATACTTTATTCGTGGAGAAGAATCAGGTAATAAAATGAGCCCTGAGCAGGTTCACATGCAGCTGAGGAGAGAACTTCTGCCTGATCAATATGTAACTAGCCAACAATAAGATCTTTATTTTCAAGGTAGGCATTGTTGCTATCAAAACTTTTGCAAATTAGATTATGTTTCTGACTGTTAAATAGTTCTTTTACAAATATGAAATTAAAATTTAGGTGAAAATTATAATTTTGTGTGTTTGTTTACATATGTTTAAAAATATGTACAATTGATATTGTTATAGATTTAGTAACCTGAAAAGAAAATGTAAGCTGGTAGAACCGACAACAGAAAATAATGAAAATAGTCAGGTTAACGATAACAAAGAAGTTTATGGCGAAAATGATGACTTTAATAAATATGAGGAAGACATCGCCAATCTTGCAAAAGAAATTTGTCTTGTATGGAAAGTGAATGATTGGGTTGCTGTTGCATATGAAAAACAATGGAATATTGGATATATTGTGGAGGTAATATTATTCAAAGTATATATTAGTTTCAAGTTTTTATTTTGTTTTACAAAACAATGCTCTAAAATAAAAGGAATATAAATAAAATGTAAAAATAATTTCAGAATGACATTATATGACACTTTACAAGTTTTATTGAATGTAAGCAAAATTAAACAAATCATAAACTCTTTATTATATTATTTTAAATGTTGCGCTAATACTTTTAGGTATCTATAACTGGGATCAGAGTTAATTGTATGATTAACGGGCAAGAGAAGAATACTTTTCGCTGGCTAGTTACTACCGAGGAGATAAATAACCAAACTGATAAAATTATCTGTTTAGTAAATGCTCCTTTACTAGTCAGTGGTTGTGGCGATTATTCATTATCCGAAGAAGACTATAATACGGTCATATCATTATTCTTAGAGAAACTTACTGCAGCAGAGTAGAAATTATGTGTGATGTGGTGGATAATGTGTGTAAATGACTCTATTAATAAATGAAAAACTAATTTTTAAATGGAAAAACATTTAAATGTTTGATTTATGTTTTATTTAATTAGCAATATAGTTATCTTGATGTTAGATTTTTGTTCAGTTTTTAATTCATGTTATATTATGCGTGTGACAAAATCACACGAATTTTTTTTATTATTATGTTAGGACCTTTTTGTATTGACAGTTGGATATGTTTACATTTTTACAAAACTAAGCGCCTCTGCCGTAATGGTTCATTTTGTAAGTATGCTAAAACATTTTTTTCCAATTTCAAGCCTTAATATATTAATAGGCCTTAGGTATCACATAACTTTCTTTGCATTTTTAGACTCAATACCTTTGATAATTTCAAATCCTAAAAGAAAAATTGTGTGCAACACTTT